ATTCTTCTCTCTATCAATCCATCATCAGCCTGGCTAACCAAACTCTCATCTCTCCAGAAACTCTGAGACCAGTCCCGGACCAGTACCAGAACCAGATCCAGTATTATATCATTGTACATCTTTCAATAAACTATGTTAAACTTTCCTTCAGACTCAGTTGTGTTCTGCATGTGGGCTAAGTCCTTAAACCCAATCATGACATTTACAATTCTAAATAATTATGGCTATATTACGATTTCAGAATTTTTAGGATTATCTGCTCCTAATGTTTTGTCATTTCTTATCAATTCATTTTTTTAAGCAATACTTTTTGCCCAACCCTGTGTTAACAAAGGTATTGGTTCAAACCACCAAGTTAGTGAATTTAGATGTGACATCCATTTTGTTTCTGCATGTTTGTAAAGCTTTGTGTGGAGAAATTTATTTGGCCAACCAAACTCAACCTCACAGAACACCTTTTGGATAAATAGAGCAGTTATTGAAATTAACACACTGCTACTGAAAATGCTTGAAGAATAACCAAAGATGGTATTGCTTGGAACGGGGTTCCATCAGTAAATCTGATTAAGAATAGGATGTCATCAGATTTAATGAACAGGCTGAAGTAGACATACAAATATTTTTTTTAATTATTTTTTAACTATATACGATAAAGACATGGTTCATTCATTGTGTAGATGAAGACATTGTGATGGAAACTTTAAAAAAAAAAGTGCAGTAAAAAAATAAAAAGATTTTTATTTGGTATGTATTTCAAATTATAAAACACACCAGCTAAACTGAATTAAAAATCTTAGCATTTCTGTGCTACAGTTGATGATTTATTAACCACAAACAATCTGTAATTCTCTCCTATTCACATTATTAAAAAAATCTTTCACAGCGTTTGTTAAAAACTGAATTCCTTTAATAAAACAAAGTGTTTGATATTTACAGCAAGGCTTTTGTTCATGGCTAAAATTCGGTGACCCTCCTAAAGGATCCAACGATGGCACAGGTGGCACACCAGTCCCGGTACCTCCTGTATTCCCCGGGTTTCAGGAAGTACTGTCTGCCTCGGTAGTTCGGGTACTCATAGAAGATCCAGTAGCCGTTCATAACATTGCAAGAGTAAACATGTCGGTGATGAAAACGATCAGACACACAAGGACAGTCATCATTGAACTCCATCATGTGACCGATGAAGTCAGGCTTTTCATAGAGACGCATTCTGTAGGAGCCTCTATACTGTGTGGCATAAGAAAACAACAAATGGTCAGACACACAGCAAGAAATTAACATATCAAATGTTTGTTTTAGAATACGTATTTAGTGATGTGGTAATCTGTACATATTAGGATGCTGTCTCACCACTGGAATCATGCGGCATGAGCGAATGCTGCTACTAAAACCCATCCATCTCTGATAGTCGGGGTATTCTCCCCTCCTCATAAAGTACTGGTGGCCCATGAAGTTGGGTCGCTCATAGATCATGAAGCAGCCACTCTCCACCCGGATGGAGTTGCAGCGACTGAAGTACAAGTGAAGGTCTGTGCAGTCATTGCTGCACTCATAGCTCCGACCCTGGAAGTTTTTGTCTTCGTAAAAAATAATCTAGAGGAGGAAGTTATTGGAGCATCAGAGGCTGTTTGCTTTGTTTCAGTAAAAAAAAAAAAAAAGAAATCAAAGAAAACGAGAAAACTGTCAAGCTGGGGTTCCTGCAACTCACAATGATTGTAAGCAGAGTGTACACGCTGTACCTACCTTACCCATGGTCTCTGTTGCAGAGATTCCCCATGTTTTCAGGGCTTTTTATACCACCTCTCAACAAACACATCATTGTTATTCAAATTCCCTTAGAGTTATAACTAAAGGCTACTGGCACATGTTTAGCTTTTTGTTGAACCACAACATTGGGTGAGAAATATGGATTTGTATTTGAAAAAAAGGATAAATAATTACAGTAACCGGTTTGGTGTTTTGAGTTGCATTGACAAAGGAAAGGACTAGTATGGTATCCACACGTCCAGCGAACAATGACTGAAGAACAATATGGAACAGCCCTTTTGCATCAGATATGTTGTTTAGACAAACAGGAAGCCATTCACTCTGCTTGCTTCTTTACCTGAGCAGCCTCACAGCGGGCAGATAAATGCATGAACATGTGCTGCTGGACGACACTCTAGATGCCAAGACTGTATTAGGACTTGTCCAGTACGAATCACATTTGAATTCTTGGTATGTGTGTGTTTGGTTGTAGGATAGTCTCTTTTCTTTCATTTTACTTTATAATATGTGTGAGGCTTTTTTTCATTCTGTTTTGAAATTAAGATGTTTACAACTAATAGCTTTCTCTGATAGACTCCTGGTGAATGTTGATGTCACAAGATCATTTGTGTTACTTAATTTTGATTCAGCTACTTTCCCATTTGACAACTGGGGGTTTGAAACCTTCAGTCTTGCCTTGTAATGGAGTTTCTTTGGGTTTTGCCACTTAAAATAATCCCACTAATATGGCCTTTATGTGCATTTGTCTAATTCAGATTACTTTGACTGAGTCATCACTAATTTTTCAAGGCATTACTTTATATCTTTGGTTAATACACCTCTCACATAGATAAATAACATATATATTTCTCTTAAGAACATTAAAATAAACTTGTCTAACCTTTGCTTTTACTTTCCGTTCCTTAGTTTTTATCCAGGCGAAATGTACTCAAACTCAGTTGAGATAATTTTATTTTATATCTTATATCCCATGTTCTGCATTATGCTGTTGCATTTCTCTGTAATTTCTCTGTACACCCTACACAGCAGTGTTATAGATAAAGTCTGCCACAGCAGACACCAGTTAATCCCACTCAGGGCACAGACTGAAAGAGGGTACCACTGGCATTGTCTAGAATGTTATACCTACGCATAATGGAGATTAAAGTACTAAAGAGGCTACTTTGTTTAGACTAGGCTGCTAAAAAATTGGACATTGAACTCTGATTTTGGAACATATTACATACAACATATGTTGATTTGAGAAAACAACATATTTAAAGATAAAAGTAATAGAGCACAAGTTAAAGGCTTTATTTGGCAGAAAATGTTTATTAACTTTACTTAAAATCTGTGATTCTTCTAATCGAGCCGATCTTCGGACTGGTGCCTCCCCAGTCGCTGTATCTTTGATAATCCCCGGGCCTTAGATAGTACACTCTGCCTTTGTAGTTTGGTTGATCATAAAGGAGCCAATGGCCATCCATCACGCTGCAGGAGCTAAAACTGGACATGCTGAGCTTCTCCTGGACGTTTGAACAGTCTTCCACCAGCTCATGCATCTGGCCAGACATGTTAAAACGCTCAAAAAGCCTCAACCTATAGTTGCCATGATGCTGCCACCAGAGAAAAATTGATTTATCTCAATATAGTGATATAGATTCTCTACATTTTTTTCCTTATTGACCTACCTGAGGGATGGAACGGCAAGATCTAATACAGTCACCAATGCCAATTGCGCGCTGATTGTCTGAGTAGTCTCCTCTTCTCAGGTAGAACTGGTTGCCCGTAAAGTTTGGCCGCTCATACACCATAAAGCAGCCACTCACTACCCTGATGGAATTGCATCTGATGAAGAACGTTTGAAGGTCTAAGCAGTCAGTGATGCACTCATGAGAGCAGCCTTGGAAGTTTCTATCCTCATAAAATATTATCTGTTAAAGCAAACAAAGCAATTTTTTTACACAATTAAGAAACATCAAGGTGTAAAACATAGCATTTGGTTTTATTTACCTTTCCCATGGTGATGGTGGCATCAGGATGTATTACTATTCACTACTGTCCCTTAACCATGCCTCTCTGCTTTATATAAAAAAGACAGAATGGGTAGGTGTGTGATGGCACAGCATAAACCATTGTCATTCAAATATGATTCACAGTCATGATGGTACTGGGATAAGGTTGCATGGTTAGGAGAATACTGTTGGTATCTAATCTGTTGATGTTTTTGTTTCCTGTTCGTTATTGCTTTTAAGATGATTATTATAGTACAACAGAAAGTGTTTATAGCACTTTCTGCTGCAGTGTTTATAGCACAGGCAAGACGAAATGGATGCCGTTGAACAATTGAACATGTTCCATTTGTTTAATCAACCTGTTTAGATGTACGGTATCATGCAATATATTGATAGAAACATGTTTAATAAGTGCATTCACATAAACTTCTGTCACACAGTTTCTAAACTTGGAAGTACATGTAAATAAACACGTACCACATGCGGCTTAAATGCAGAGAAACATTATGTCATGTCAGATAAATGAATTACGTGCGTAGCTTTGATGCTTAAAGATGAGAGCTAGCAATTGCAGTAGAAATTTCTATTTATAATTACATAGGACTCAGTTCACCTTTGTAGAGGCAGACATCTTTTGCGCTACGGCAGCGCACAGTTGATAAACT